AAACAGTATCCTCAATAGTGAACATCATATGAAGAAAAAGGTAGAACAGTTGAATCAACAAAAGCTGTAAAAAGCTTCAAAATTAACAGTGATAAATGAAGTGAATACTTCAGTGCCATTAAAAATAATAAAGAATTTTTTAAGAAATTTCACAACTGATAAATACCAATAATTTTGTAATACTAAGATATGTTCAATTGAGTTATAAAAAAGTTAAACTCACTGCTGTTTTTATTAACAATATCTTTATTTAGATTTTTCAATAATAAATACTTTTCTGAGTAGATTTTATTCTTTATTATAAGTATTTTCTCAAAGATGTTTTGATTTGAACAAAAAATATTATGGTTCATCTATTTATAGGAATATTGTTCGAGTCTATTTACAGGAATATTGTTTAGAATGCAATCAGAGAAAAGAAACCAAATAAGTATTCTTTATTTTCCTTAATTCTCTCCTCCTTCCTATTCTGCAGCTGTTAGATTCAAAGTTTCCTTATTCTTCTCTGTTTGGGGCTAATTCTCTAATTTGTAACTTTATGGGGGGGGACTGGAAAATCTTTATAAAATAGCTTTTTTTTCTCTGTAGCATCAGTTACTTCTTTTTTTTTTTTTTTTTTTTTTTTTTTTTTAATGTTCACCTTTACTGTTAATATTTCATGGCAAATAACTGACCCAGCAGGACAACTTATGAAATAAATTACCTAGGCACATTCTCACAACAATGTCAGCAAATTCAGCTAGAGCAAAAAAATATCTGTTTTCAATCAAACTGAAAGAGATAGTGAGCACATAGCACCATCTATCAAGAAAAACAGAAATTAACTGTGAATAAGATATTAGACTTCTAAAAGTGCAGGAAGGACTAGACTGTAATTAATGATGATCCTAAAGATGATAATCTTAATTTCTTAGGTTTCATTACACATTCTTTTACAGATGGTGCCACATTTGTGTCCGCTTTGCTCATTGCTTTTGATATAAATGCTGTTATCACTCTTTTCAATATCTTTTATTTTATGCTTCTGAAGGAAAAAAAAAAAAAACTGGTGTCTGGTTTTAAAAAAAAAAGCTTATCACTACTTTAATCAAAAATTTATGCAAAATTAAGCTTGATGTTTTGCCAGAGAGACTTTATTAGTCTTAAAACAGATTTTTTGCCTGCATCACTTTTGTGTCTGAATTATTTTCCAAACTGTTGCATTGTCTTATCGTGATGTATTATGAAAAAGAATATTAAATAATGAAGAATCTGTACCTAATAAGTACGTTCCTTGAATTGCGAAAAAACGATGGCCACTGAATTTTAAATGCACGAAGTCTTCCATCTGAACATGGCTACCTTGAAGCCCAAATTTTGAATTTATTTTTTATTTATTACATATTTGTATAAATGTAATTATTTTTTGTTTAACAAACTCACCAAACTGAGGGCCAGAAGTGGAAACACCATTAAAAATTTAAAAACAAAAACTTTTACCTTCGGCATGCCGGACTATAGCAATTTGGTAAAAAAGAAGATATATATCTTACTTTGTATAAATTTAATGAATTTTTGTTTAACAAACTCAGCGAGCTGAGAGTCAGAAGTGGCAATACCGTTAAAAATAAAAAAAAACTTTTATTTATGTTGTAACAGACTATTTCAATTTGGCAAAATATAAGATTTTTATCTTTCAATTTTAATCCACAAATTCGGGTATTTTAAAACAATGTGTCACCACTGTATGAAATATAATATTTATTATCATCAAATATCAATGTGTTGCCATTGAGTAAGATGTATGATACTTAATTAAGATTTAATCTTTCTGTTACTGAGTGGTAAACAGAGCAATCAAAAAGCAAAAACGCAGTTCTTAAAAATACTTTTTTTCGACTTTTTAATCTAACTGGTTTAAATCAAAACGCATTTACTATTATAAGATGTGATAAAATAAAGTGAATTAATAATAATTTTTATAAATTAACATAGTATGGAAAATTAAAATTATTGTATAATTTTTTTTTTTTTCTTTTTATGATACCTCTTTCAAGCATCTAACCACTTGAGCAGCTATTTTTCAAAGAAATAATATAGCAAATATAAAAAAATATATGGCAGTTCCTAACACTCTATTGGGAATTCTAAAGAGAAATAATTTTTAAATATTTTTAAATTTTGCTCTTGAATTTTATGCAGCATACATGGGAAGAAAGTGAAGCTTAATAATAAAGATAAAGAGACAAGAAAAAATATTCTGTTAGCATCAGTCAATGAGTGCAAAAGTAGATTAATACCTTGTGATGCTCAATGAGAGCATAAAAAACTTCAACTAATTCTCTGGAGCAACATTAAAAATCTGAATCCTTTCAGATTTTCTTCTTCTTTTTTTTTTTTTTTAAGTATGCTTTTGTTTTAAATGGCATCGTATGGTGTAAAACAATAGCCCACTTTTCAAAAGCCTTGGAGGAAAATCATTTTTAGATTGGCTATGGATGTTCTGAATATCATAGAATGGAAACCAGGCGCTTTAAGTTTCCAGTTGAAGAAACATTTAATTATCGATTTGCCTTCTACCACACTACAAATCATGTCATTTGACTAAACAAAAGTTAGCTTCATTTTGATCCTATGTTTTCCGTGCACTTCAGGTTTGCTCCTCCAAATTGGCTCTTAATCAAGAACTAAATATAGTCAAAAGTCGTTAATCCGGACACCCATAATATGGAATGATCTATAATTTGTACCTCAAAGCTACAAACTTTCTGCGCATGCGTCAATGCATAATGCGTTGACGCATGCACGTAATACCTTTACGCATGTGCATAGTATGTTTATGCATGCGCGTTTAATGTATAACGGACGATATAAGCTAAGCTAAAATTATCTATTTCAGTTAATGTTGCAGATTGTGTTGTTCCTTAATCTTCGAATTGGATCCGGCTTATTATTTTTTGCAGACTGTTAGAGCAATTTTATAAAAGTAAGTTGGAACTTTCAATTATGTCAAATAGAATTTCCGATGCTGGAGCTGCAAAAGGATCTACAAAGGGAAAGCATGTTTCGATGTCCATCAAACAAAAAGTGAAATTGCTGCAAAAAATGGATAAGGGCTCCTTTGTTTCTCTAACTATTTTGAAATCTGTTTATCAATTTCATGCTGCTCTGTGCGGGGGTTGAACGTCGCGGAGCGCAATGAACTGGAAGTTGATCTGTCAGCCCTATCCTTATCTTCAGGGCAGATTTTTTTTTTTATTCAGCTTATAATTCCTTACTAAATGTAGAATTTCATCTCGATGTACTCTGTCTTTGATATGATTTAAATCAAATTCCTCATCATTATAAATATCACGAATACAAATCAAATAGTTTTCTGGTTGCAATTTTCTAATTTTGACTATGCGTAATGTATGCTTTACACATATGCGCATTGAAAGAAATGTTTAATAAAGTAAACAAATAAATATTAAGCTTTTTTTTTTTTTTTTTTTTTTTTTTTTTGTAAATTTTGATACCCTTTAGATCATAATTGCTCTTTATTTCATAAATTACGGTTTCATATTTTTAATTTTATAATTTTTGCATACCATCTTACTAGATTTAAACTGATGATCTATAATCCGGAAAAATCGATAATCCGGAATCGCCGAAGTCCCGACGAGTCCAGATTAAAGACTTTTGACTGTAATTTAAAAGCAGTAGCTATTGACAGGGGCTTTTCACCCAACATTATTAATCAAGCAGTTAAAAAATTCTCATCTCAACACACCAAAAGGCACACTCTTGTTTTAGGAGATTATAAGAATTCTGTTGTCATTCCTTTCTTTCCATCAATTAGCTAGAAAAGTGCATATACAGAAATTCAACTTTTGGGTAGTTTATTCACCTATCAGTAAAATTGCGAGTTCCATACTCAAGGACCCCATTCTGGATATGAATTCCTGGGGCATTTACAGGATTCCTTGTGAGTGTGGTTTAATTGACATTGGTCAAACTAAGAGAGCCTTAAAATTTCATGTTGAGGAACATAAGGCATATATTAGAAAATAGGAAACACAGAAGTCCTCTGTTGTTCAGCATTGCTGTTTTGAATATCACACTTCCAATTTTTCTGCAGCCAAACTTATTCAAAAAACATCTTCCATTGGTGAATTCGATTTTCTAGAGGCATTTCACATTAAAAAAAATCTTTCTGTTCTAGTTAATGACACTAATTCCAATCCATCTTTGCCTTCAACTTTTAAGAAAATTATGTTTTAGTTCTCATTTCTTCAACAGATGGCACCAGTAGCTTAACTCCTGTCCAGTCATTCTTATCTTATCTGATCTAATCACAATATCTTACTTCATTCATTTGCGCTTTGGCAGCTGAAGATCGAAACTAGTCCTGTGAAAAATTGTAACTATAACGCTGATTTTTGTTGTTTAACTTCTAAATTAATACTTGTTTGGCGTGTTATTTTATCTTAATTTCTGTGGAATTTTTGGTTCAAATATATACATTTGAAACTATCAGCTGTGAGAATTTCTGACTCTTCCTTAGTTCTGTAATGTTTTTGGAGCATGTAATGATCACAGACTTTTAAAACACAGATTTCTGAGAGAAAGGAAAGAACTTTTTTCATTAGGAGGGAAAAAAAAAAAAAAAAAAAAAAAAAAAACCTTATCAAATACCGATTAAAAAAAAATAACTTCCTCTCAAATTACAAATCAATACTCATCCGTATCTCCAAAACAAAGTTTCTAATAAAATTATTTTTTTCATAAATCGTAATAAAAGGCAATAATAAACATATAATTACCAACAGTACTAAAATAACATACTCAAATATTTTACAAGTGGGATGCAAAAGTAGAAAATTTGTTGGTAGGTAATGTGGAAGGTTATTATGAAGAATATTTAAGAAAAAATGTGAATAAAGTAAATCACTGATTTTTTGCATAAGTATTAGAACAATTTTTTAAATAATATCACGAGTTTACAAAGGGATGAGATATTGAGAAAAACACATAAATACCAAAATTATGGGCACCAAGAAGTGCAACAGTTTGAGTTTCAGGATCCACTTTTAAGAAACCTATTTCACAATGCAGTTTTTTCTTCTTTTCAGGATGCCATGTTTCAGACCTAAAATAAATTTTGCTGAATAAAATAAAATATTTATCATAAAAAACAAGTTTCAAAGCAGTAAATATAGGATGCCAACAAAGTCAGATATAAGTTTTTGAGACTTGAATATGAACCTTAAATATGAAAAACTGCAATATAAAAAAATCACATATATTGATTGCACAGTATTATCTAGAATTTACGCATTCAAAAATTTATAATATATAAACTACTAAACTGATACCAGATTTTACTATACAGAAACAGAGGTAAATTCACCAAGTTTCTTTTACATAATTTACAAATGTTTGATGTGTCAACCTCTGCTGATATGAGACATGACTGTGATAATCTACTTTACCTTGTGCATGTGGCATTCCTTCATGGCCAAATCGTTAAGATAGACGATTACTAGTAGTTCAACTTGATTTCAACCTAACTACATGAGCAGGCTGCATGCTTGGTTTTTGTGATGTACCCCACATGCAACATGGATACGAGTCCATTTCCCTTAGAAAATTCTCCATGAAGGTATCCCTTCCCATAAACATAGGCCTTTATGCTTTGCCATATTCAAATAACCAGACTGACACATGTGCCATTATATCTCAATCAGCAAGATCAACAGCATTAATGATACAAGATCGTGAGATGACCTTGGAAATTAGTAAAGAATGAGGGCACAAGAACAATATCATTGAAAAATTCTCGTAAAGAAAAGTCACTAGGTATTAATTCCGATGACTGGTATTATTAATATGAAAAAGAAAAGGATGAGATTTATTATCACTAGAAACTCTTTTATGAAAGATGTTAAAGAGAATTGTAATACACACCTGCAAAACCTTCTCGTAAACCAGTATCAGAGGAATGGATTTGGGAAGAAGAAGAAAATGTAGCCGATATAAAAAGTTTTTTGAAATATCTGAAATTAATCCTTGCCTGCGTAGACTAGGTGGTAATCCTACGCCTTTAGATGTTTTGAAAGAAGTCTTGAATGAAGATTTTTGGGACACTATAGTTAGAAAGACGAATAGATATGCCAGACAAGAGATAGAAAAAGGAAGGTTGTGTAACAAAAAAAAAAAAAAAAAAAAAAAAAAAAAAAAAGTGGTTTCCTGTAAGTTTTGATGAAATGAAAGCTTATATTACATTATGCATCTTGATGTTGCAAATGAAGAAGCCAAAAATGCATATGTATTGGTCAAAAAGATATGCAATAAGTACTCCAATTTTTGCCAGCACTGTGGCACACGAAGGGGTTTTTGATATTTCAAGCTTTCTACATTTTACGGATAATGAAAAGAAAAATATAGATGACAGAATAAGAAAGATTAGAAATATAGCGGATTACCTAAATAATAAATTTTGTTACTTTTATACTCCTGATAGTGAAGTAGCTATTGATGAAACGCAACCAAAAATTATATCCACATGTAAATATTTTCTCAAATAAATCTGTACCCAAGGGGTTAATTTATGTAAAATGTGATGAATAATTACATACAGACAGTTACATAACAGAAATAATAAAATGTTAGCATAAATTTAGGTATTTTGCATAATGAAACTCGAAAGGCATACGAAACGAACGTGCGCCAAGATATATATTGGCGAGAGAAAGTAAAGTTCGTGTGCAATGCAGTATATTTGACTTTCACCTTAGCTACATGCAGTGTATTCGATTTTCACCCTAGCTACTTATATCACGGCCAAAGGTCTAATTCAGTTAGTACTTTCTCTTTTTCAGGTACGGTGTCAAAGTATGTTCCTGTTTTTTCTTATTGCCTAAATAGGTATGCTTGAAGAAGTATGACTTATATTTGTATGTAAGTTATCTCCTTTTTGATAATTCAGTGTTTTAATGTCTGTGAAGATTATTACTTTTTATTATGATTAAGTTAAACAAAATTCTCCTATTTTATTAAATAAAGATTTCGTAGTTAAATTTTTTGACTTATGATTCTTTAATGAAAACTGCGCCTGAGGAAACTTACTCATTACGCCTTCAGTGCTAATGCACAAACCAACAATAGATTATGAGACTGAGTAGGGTAATTGCCTTGTAGAAATGCTTCAAAAAAAAAAAAAAAAAAAAAAAAAAATCTAAAATTGAAATTTTGTTCCAGGGGCATAAAGTGTTAAAACTCTTTATTGAAAATACTAGTTACAAAGTTTATAAGAATAATTGTAACAAATAATAATGTCTATTCTAAAAGAATCAATTTGTATAGAAAAGTTAACAGATGAAAATTACTCAGTGTGGAAATTTAAAATAGAACAACTTCTAATAAAAGAAGGTTTAGATGATGTTGTATTCGAAGAAAAACCGAGAACTGTTACTGATATTTGGTTAAAGAATGATCGTAAAGCTAAAGCTCTAATATGCCTAAACATCAGATTCGCAAATTATCCATGTTTTGCATAGTAAATCTGCAAAAGAAGTTTGGCAGAAGTTAAAATGTGTCCATGAACGTGTAAATTTAACAAACAAGTTATTTCTTCTTAGAAAACTATCTTCCATTAGATATAATGAAAGTTCTAAAATGCAGGAACATATCAGTACTAGAATTGGCTGAAAAGCTGCATAGTATAAGTGAAGAATTTAAAGAAAATAACTTAACAGCAATATTACTATGCTGTTTACTAAATTCATACAACTCCTTAATAACTGCAATAGAAAGTAAATCGGAAGCTGAATTGTCACTAGAATATGTTAAAAACAAACTAATAGATGAGTATTGTAGACGTGTGGAAACTAAGAAAGTTCAAAAATACGATTCAGTTGCTTTAAAAAGTAAAAGCGAAAATAAATCAAAGTATGTTACACGATATTGTACTTATTGTAAGAGAAATAACCATACAATAAATGACTGTTTTCATTTAAAATGCAACGCTAGAACTTCCCCGAAAACAGATGTAAATAACAGTAAAGTAAGAAATTATTCTCAAAATTATAAAAGTAATGCATGCCAAATAGCAAATACGCAAAGTGTAGAAAACATAACAAAACTTAAAGAAAATGTAGCCAGTATCTTAAAAGTAAAAGTATCTTAAAAGTATTGAAACTGAAAATTTGCAGATTCAGTTTAATCAAGTTCTAAAAGTGGTCAGCAAGGTTTATATAAATTGACCGTAAACTCAATTGACGAGAAAGCCTACTTAGCTAATGATGTTTCATGTTCTAATACGAACTGTATACTAAAATGGCATCAAAGATTAGGCCACAGAAATATAGATGCCATAAAAACACTTGAGAAAAATTAGCAGACGGCATTAAACTTGGCAAATGCACTCATAGTGTGGAATGTTCTACTTGTGTAAAAGCAAAACTAACTGAAAAATCTTATCCCAAAACAGGTTTTAGATCTAAAAATCATGAAATATTTCATGAAATATCTTTTCCCTCCTAAGCTGTTGACTTCAATTGGCCCACACACATCTGTGTGCACTAAATCCAGTGGATTTTTAGATCTAAATCCAGTTTTGGGGATAAGATTTTTCAGTTAGTTTCGCTTTTACACAAGTAGAACATTCCACGCTATGAGTGCATTTGCCAAGTTTAATGCCGTCTGCTAAATCGTTTTTCTCAAGTGTTTTTATGGCATCTATATTTCTGTGGCCTAATCTTTGATGCCATTTTAGTATACAGTTCATATTAGAACATGAAACATCATTAGCTAAGTAGGCTTTCTCGTCAATTGAGTTTACGGTCAATTTATATAAACCTTGCTGACCACTTTTAGAACTTGATTAAACTGAATCTGCGAATTTCATTGATGACTATTCGCGTTATACTCAAATTTATTTTATTACTTCAAAAGATGAAGTATTCGACAAACTTAAACAGTATGTTGCATTGACAACAAATAAATTTAGGAAGAAAATAAAGGTTCACAGATCCAACAACGGTACAGAATACTGTAACGAAACTACACAAAATTATTTAAAGAAACTTGGTATTTTTCATCAAACTTCGGTTTCTTATTGTCCGGCACAGAACAGCGTCGCAGAAAAGAAAAATCGCTCTTTAATAGAAATGACAGAACTACTCTGATATGCACCCTCAAGTCGCCAAATTTTTCGGCAAATATTTTGCCGAGAAACTTCACGCTGCCATATTACTATCTAAATTTTTTGTTTACATTTTGAACTTTTAGCCTAAAATGTCTCCAAAAACGCGGTTTTCGCACATGCAAAAACTACGTTTTGAACACACAATTTAGCTAAAAATCCGAAACAAAAACAAAAAATTTAGATAGCAAAAACGTAAAGTTTCTAACTAAAAATATTTGACAAGAATCCATGTACACAGCGACATGTTTTAACTTAAAAAAACATCTACGAATTGCACAATGTAGGCAACGAACAAATCTACAAACTATGCACACCTCGCTTTAATAAATTAACATAACAACAATAAATTTCAAAGAATACCATATACACAGCATCCTGTTTAAACTTAAAAAAAATTCTACGAATTGCACAATTTACGCAAGGAAGGAATCTACGATTTACGCACTCCTCGCTTTAATAAAATAACATAACAACAATAAATTTCAAATAATACCATGTACACAGCGTTCTGTTTCAACTTTAAAAAACATCTACGAATTGTACAGTCTAGACACTAAACAACAAAATAAACTAAAATAAATTTCAAACAATTTAAAGAAAAAACAATAACGACAGAAATTCATACTAAAGAACCAATGAACATAACATTCTACAAAATAAGAAAATGCACTTACCATGAATAAAATGCACTTACCATGAATTAATGCGTTTTCGAATAGCAGAAATATAAATTTCATACCGCCTTTAACATGCCGCCACGTAATCACTATCGTATTTACATGACAGTCAGACACACTATCCAGAAAATTTATACTATGGTTCACAAATAAATAAAATCACAAATCCCTACTTCTATTACGCACTGCCATTAAAAATAATCTCCCAGACCCTCTTTCTACACTTCCAAATACCCACTATATGTGCCGACTACCCGTAAGAGTTTTTTGCTAAAGAGGCGAAATGACAAAAGCTATGCTAATAAACTCTAAATTACCGAAAGGATTCTGGGCTGAAGCAGCAGCAGCTACTGCTGCATATCTTCAAAATAGGTTACCAACTAAAGCCACAGATAGAACACCATATGAATTGTGGAATGGTAGAAAACCAAACTTAAGTCACTTACGAGTATTTGGCTGTAAAGCATTTTATTATGTGAACAAACAAAAACGGCGTAAATTCGACAACAAAGCTGAAGAAGGAATATTCGTAGGGTACGATTTACGAAGTAAGGGATACAGGATTTATGTAGGTGGAAGGAAATAATAGTAAGTAGAACTGTTAAATTTTCAGAAAACGCGTCTTTATCTGACAAACATGCAGAAAATAATGCTGAAGATTATATTTAGAATTAATTCACTTCAATAACTCGCAATGAAGAAAATAATGAAGAAACATCTCTTGGCGATGATTTTACAGAAGATTCAAAAAGTTCCTGAAGAGTTAATTAAATGTGAAGAAAATGTAGAAAAGAAGGGTTTCTAGCAGATCAACCAAAGGGGTCCCACCGGAAAGATTCTCTTATAAAGCAGAAGACGAAGAATCAATCTTACCTAAAAATAAAGATCCAGAAAGCTTTGAAGAAATTCTAAACTTACCAAAACGTGAACAAGAAGCTTGGATCAAGGCTATGCAAGAAGAAATACATTCTCTAAAAGAAAATGAAACCTATAAACTTACAGAATTACCACCAGGAAAACATGCAGTAGGCAGCAAATGGGTGTTTAAGACAAAATATGATGAAACTGGTAAAAATATAAAATACAAAGCACGCTTAGTAGCCAAAGGATTTACTCAAAAATACGGCAGTGATTATGATGAAACTTTTTCACCAGTAGTGAAACACACTACGATAAGAGTTTTCTTAGCATGGGCAGCGTATAATAATGCCAAGGTACATCAACTAGATGTTAAAACAGCTTTTTTGTATGGCAACTTAAATGAAGAAATATATATGGAACAACCAGAAGGATTCGTGGTTCCGGAAGAAAGACATAAAGTTTGTAAATTACAGAAGTCGATTTATGGTCTCAAACAAGCAGCTAGGTGCTGGAATGCAGAAATTGAAAATACATTGAAGAATCTTGGGTTCAGTCAAAGCAAAGCAGATCCGTGTCTTTTCACAAAAGTGGTTCGTGATAAAAGAATTAATTTAATAGTGTATGTTGATGACATCCTAATAAGTTCTACAGAAGAAGGACTAATTCTTCAAACAATTAATGATTTAAAGAAACGTTACCAAATAACGCATCTTGGTGAAGCTAAATATTTCTTAGGCATGGAAATAAATCGCAAGGAAGATGGAAGTTATCTCTTATCACAGAAAAATAAAATAAATCAACTTGTCAAGCAATTTCAACTTGAAGAAGCGAAACCCGCTAGCACACCAATGGAAACAACTATTATAACCTAAACAAGGAAGAAAATCTCCTAACTTCAAATGATAAATTTCGCCAAGCTATTGGAAGTCTTTTGTATATATCGTCTATCACAAGACCAGATATCACAGCTTCAACTCACATACTCAGCAGAAGGTGTAATAATCCACGTCAAAAGGACTGGAATGCTGTTAAAAGAATCATTAGATACTTAAACACGACAAAGAATCTATCCTTACAAATTTCGTCGAGTGAAGAACCTAATATTATAGTTTATTCAGATACTGATTGGGGACAAGATATTTAAGATAGAAAATCTACATCAGGAAGTGTTATTTTATTAGAAAAAAACTGTATTTCATGGTTTTCAAGAAAACAAACTTGTGTTTCTTTATCCTCAGCAGAAGCTGAATATCGCAAGCTACACATTTTTTATCCAAGAAAAAACACTTCTCAGATTCATTATTTATTTTTTAAAAATAAAAGGGCGATAAATTTTTGGCTTTGAAAAGTGAAACCCGCTTTAGGAGCAACAAAATGCCAAAATAATTATAGTACGTCTGGGCAATGCCCTTAGAATAATAAATTGGTACTTTTCCGTTTCGCCGGTGCAAATCTCGACAAGCAGACTTTATTAGCGACAACATACAGTATACGCATAAAAAATTTTAACAAATGTTAGTTCCTAGCAATTTTTTATTTTGAAGGCATAAACATTTTAATATTATTTAAAATTTTGTAAAAAGCTAATAAAAGACAATAAATTTGTAAAAAGACATTAATTTAAGAATTTACTATGCTTTTATGGTTCAACAGCCTGATTCGCCGGTTCGTAGAACATTACCCCAAGTGACCTCATCTAACATAAACTACACTACAAAAATCTAATTCTCTCAGTAATTATCTACATTAATTTCAAGTCAAATCTTAATTTGGAATATAAGTGAAAGAAATATTTGAATTCGTACGAATACCTTACTCACAAATTATGTAAAACCGCAGTACTTTACTTCACTAGTGCATTCTCATTAGAATTAATGAATTTAAACTTTGACTGTGCCTTTTCTATATTTTCACCTTCGGGTGAGTGGTGTGATTACATCCTAATTGACTTAATTATCGCAAATGGCCTTAGAGCATAAAATTAAACTATCTGGGTAAAAATTCTATGTAAATGTATGCCAGTATTGAAAGAAGCAATCAATCTGATAAGAAACAGCTATGACTTGTTTTGAAAATGAGGCGTAATAGGTTACCAGCGAAGATATTCTGTTTGGCATCAGTTGTACCATTGTAGGCGACTTTATCGCCTGCGCCAGCAAAATGGAAAAGTACCTAAAAATTTTAATTACGTATGACAAAAGTAGACTTCAAAACTTTTTGACATCTCTAATGGAGTACTCTCATTTAGGGTATCAAGAGGTGTTCTTAAATGAGAGGTTTTACTATGCTTTAAAATTTTTAGTATAGGGAATTTTGTTAAAATTATTTTATATAAAATAACAAAATTACTTTACTTGTACTGAATAACTGGCTGCAAAGACACTGGCTGGAATTCGAGCAATTCTTCATATTTTAAAGTATCCATTGTCGGATAAGAAACTTCCGCTTCTACTGCTTCCCAGTTACCAAATAACCAGGAGAGTGGAGATATGGCAGAGTGATATGAATCTGAAGAACTAGAACAAAATTTATATTAATTTTTAGATGACTAAATACATCAACTACATTTCAAATGCAGACGATAAATATACACATTTTACATACAGTTTCAGTTGTTAGGATCACTGGTTCTTAAGCAAAATTAAACCTGTTGTTAGTTTAATTCTAAGTCTTTTTTTTAGTAGATTTAAATAGCATTTAAAGATAAATTTACATATTTTTATAAATTAAAAGAAATTATTATACTGATTTTGATGAATGTGTACAACACACACACAGGCCTATACTGTTAGACAAACATAAATTAATAAACTTTATGTTGCAAACTGTTTTATAAAAACATTCTTCCCCATATATGTTAAATTCTCACTTAATATAAGTAAAAATATCTAAAAACATTCCATTAGATCAGTTTTTGTTGAAAAGAGATTAAAATATCATTTTAAACAAATAAAATAATTTCTTTTCTTAAATTCAAAGCAAGATATTTTTAGATACAACATTCATTTCATCCTAAACCAACATCTGAAAACAAAAAGAAATAAAAACGAAAACTTATTAATCAAATGTGAGTAATAAATTTTGTCCCATTTAAATATTCAGTTACTTTTCTTATGCAAGTCAGATTCACTGTTACGTGAATCTCTGGTGCTCTTTTCCATTACATTGTGTTCTAAACACACTCGAGATCTAACATTTTTTAAACACACCAATGACATCTTCCCTAAGAGTATTCTTCCATATGTCAATAATCTATCACCACATTTGAATAAACTAACATATAGGTATGAGCATCTGATTTTTCTGGCAACCCAATTAGCATACTCTCTCTCAAAATGTCGTAGAATAGCTTTATGAAAATCTGCCTCCAGGGGAACAATACCCAAATTTGTTTACCTTTTCTTTCTATTATATCTGTTATAAGGTCCACCTAAGAATGACAAGGAAATTTCATTAACATGTTGACGGCGGCACAGATATTCATTGTTCATTTCGTGCAGCAGCGCTTGAATTAGCGGTTAATTTTGTGGGGTGCCAAATTATAAAATTATAAATTAGAATTATAAAATTAGATTATTATTATATTTTATAATATAATAATTTCATTTTTTGATATACAAGCATAATTTAGTATTTTTTTATATACATTTTACATCATCCATCTTTCAGTAACTTTCAGTTTCAGCATCTGAAAGCCCAAATTTGAAATTTGTTTTATTATACAAGCATGACTCATCGGTAAGTCATGCCACTCCACAGAACAGACAACTATGACCCACGGGTGGGTCAGGCCGCCCCACAGAACAGACAAGTATGACCCACCGGTGGGTTAGGCGGGCATCAGTGTGTTAAGATACCATACCAACTCAAATCATTCCATTACAGTAATCAATTTTCACTCAAGCATACAATGCTTTATGGAAGTTGTTTAATCTTTTTCTATTATGCAATTTTCTGGCATATCAAAATATATAAGATTTTCTCTCTGACTGGAAAGACAGTTCTTTTCAATACACCATGCATCATTACAAAGCACTGTTTTTAGTCCAAAGGTGCTTTGTCCCTGAAGGACTATAGTTTTCGTTTTGCGACAAATCACTATAAACAGCATATCACTTTTAAAAGTGTTGACACCAAATGTTAGAGTCCTGCATTATATTTAAAGAAATTAAATAATGAAGAATCTGCATAAATGTGCCTATATTTCTAGCACTGTGATAAAACAACGGTACCTAGAGCCATCCAACTTTGAATGACGTTAATCCTACTGCGAATATGGGCATCTGAAAGCCCAAATTTGAAATTTGTTTTATTATCAATTTCATATTCTGAAAACTTTAACAAATTTTTGATTAACAAACTCTCAATGATTTAAAAGCGAGCAATGGCAATACTATACGGGGGGGGGGGAACCTGGTAAAAGTATATTTATGGTACCCCTATTCGAAAATTTTTGGCGGTACATGGATACAGAGTTTGTGCAGTTCTTTGACTTGTTATTTTGGCTTTGTGCAGCAGAGATTTTAGTGCAAAAAATCACACTACACAAAGACAAAATAACAACTCAAAGAATCGCACAAACTCGGTATCCATGTACACATTGACCTATTTTCAGTTTTAAAAAAATCACAGAATTGCACAAACTAAGCATTGCACACTCCCTTAACTTTATCTATGTACACGTCGACCTATTTTCACTTAAAACAAATATCACAGAATTGCACAAACTTGGCACTGCACACTGTCCATGTAACTCATCAATATATTTTCACTTAAAAAGTCAAAGAAGCACCCAATTCTAGGTAAAAGTATATTTACGAAACGTTCAACTACTCAGGTTACGATAAATAAAACAACTTGGTGATAAACGAAACAACAACTTGGCAATAAATGAAACAACAACTTCGTGATAATACAAGGGGTACCCTTCAGTCTACTCTAACCAAAAACCTTTTTACACTGCTCAATATTGAAAATGCAACACCAAGAAGGAGTGGTCAGAAATTTATGCAAATTTTAGAGAGACGCACGTCACTGAGTTATGCAAATGATGTGAAATGCGCAACTCTCCGACGCACGCGAAGTAAGATATAAGGGAAGTGATGTGCAGAATGGGTAATATTCGTGTCGTTATTTCTGCCAGACGAATTATCGAAGAAAGTTGTTTTTTGTTTAGGAGGATATGTTTAATAGGAGAGAATGCCAGGCCGTCATCACGAAAGCACTTCCAGCAGATAGACAATTTTACGAGGGGTATAGTGATCGAACTGAGAAGGGCGGGTTGGTCCTTACGCCAAATCGCAGCTGATACCCACATGGATGCGAGCACGGTGCATCGGCTATGGCAAACATGGATGGAACAAGGAAATGTGGGAAGAAGGAGGGATGCAGGTGCAGCCAGAGTGACGTCAACACGCGTCGGTCGACACATCCACCGACAAGCTGTGTCGGTCCCGCAAGTCAATTGTACCATTATTCTGCATTATGTGCAAGATACCCTGGATGTTCCCATGTCAACCAGAACCATTTCCCGTCGATTGGTCGAATGTGGCCTGCACTCATGGCGCCCGTTAAGAAGACTGCCATTGACACCACAGCATAGACGCCAACGTTCAGAATGGTGCCAGATTGGAGTGATGTGGATGACAGAATGGTGAAACGTCGTGTTCTCAAATGAGTCCCGCTTCTGTTTATCCAGTGACAGTCGCCGCATAGACGTGTGGCGTCGACGTGGAGACAGATCTAACCCGGCAGTAACGGTGGAACGCCCCACCGTGCGACAACAGGGCATAATGGTTTGGGGCATTATTGCCTACGATTCCAGGTCACTTCTAGTTCATATTCAGGGCACTATGATGGACCAACGATACTTGGATACTGTACTGCAGCCGGTGGCAATCCCCTACCTTCAGGGGCTGCCTAATGCAATTTTTCAGCAGGATAGTGCCTGACCACAAAGTTCTCGCATCTGCCAACATGCTCTGCAAGGTATACAAATGCTTCCCTGGCCACCATACTCTCCTGACCTGTCACCAATCGAACACGAGTGGAATGTGATTGGACGCCGTTTGCAGACCCTGCCCCTGCCTCGTTCAGAAGACGAACTGTGGCAAATAGTTGAAAGGGAATGGAGACCACCCTCAGGACACCATCGGTACTCTTATTGACTCTATGCCTAGACATGTTTCTCGTGCATTGCTGTCCACGGTGGTCCTACATCCTACTGAGATGATGCCCCATTCTCGCTCTGTTTCTGACTATCATTTTGAAATAACGATCACTTACTGCTGCTTGCTGTTTCCCTCTTTTCCAAATTTCATAACTTTCTGACCACTCCTTCTTGGTGTTGCATTTTCAATGTCGAGCAGTGTATCTACAGCGCGTGGAACTGTGTATCGGAAATTCTAAAGATATATTCATTTTAAATTATTTTGCGACATTGCTGTTGAACTAAATTTTATGGTTAAGTGCAAAGAACATGACATTTAATAAATGAAGGTAACACACAAAACGCTAAAATGTGCCCCTTTTGGATGTAATTTAAAATCTAAAACTTTCAGATTCCCCCCCCCCAATTTTTCTAGCAAGTTCTGTACTGATATTTTTTACTGTAAATAATAATAATAATAAAACTAATGCAGGGGGTTCTCAAACAGGGATGAATTTCATAGTTTCAGGTCAGCCTTTTATTTACTTGTATTTAATTTTAGTTAGTGAATAAATAAAAAAAAAAAAAAAAACTATCGTTATTCAAGTTTTGATATTTATCAACATTTTCTATACTTTTTCTTGTTTAATTTATAAAGCACATTAAAAAAGTCTAAATTTATTAAGTGTATATGCATTTTTGAGTTTTAGAAAGGGGGGGGAGGTGAATGATCATCTAGAAATGGTAAATGGGACAAAACAGTTGAGAACCATTGTTGTGCTTTTTGATTTGCTGGTGGAATACCAGCTGGTCTTGGAAACTGGTGATTCTTTTGCTCCTGAGCAGTTTCATGAGCCTTTACCCTTTGACGCGCGGTGGTCGCGCCTTGAAACCACCAATTTTTGAATTTTTTCTCCTCTTGATTCTGTAATTTTTGAGTGAAAATCAATTCATTACTGATCTTTTACCTCTAAATAGCACAAAATGACTACAGAATCATGCATGTTTTAGCTCTTAGTACTTCAAATCGCACACCTTTTAAAATTCGTTTTCAATGAGACAAAATAACTTCCTTTTATTAAAATAAACAACTTTAAATTTCAAAAGTTATTCATAGCACATCACGATTTCTATCATAAACAATAAAAAATAGCAATAATTAAACTTCATATATTAAAAAACCCTCTATATGTATGGCATTTGCTTTGTGGTTTCAGGGTGCGACCACTGCCCCACTAGAGCATTGTGTCACAATGCTCTAGAGGCTCGGTGATCGCGCCTTGAAATCACTGCTCTTCACAATGGCGTTTGCTTGCTTCTCAAATAGGAATGCTTATTTTTACCCAGATATAGATAAGGGGTTTTGAA